GTTTAACCACACGCTTTTTCACAGGTTACAGCCAAAAAAACCACAGGTTCCCAGAGGGGAGCCGAGTTTCTGCTGCTTTAAGCTCAACACATCTAATAATATGTTAAGAATGTGTTTAATTTCTGAAGGGGAAAAACACATGTCGCACACCACTGTGGCGGATTAACTTTTAATGTGAAATATTTAGCTGAAAACGCATTCAAACAGCTGCTAAAGTCTAAAGTCTGCACGGTCATGAGTCACCGTTTTGGGAACTAAACTCTGGTGGCAGCAAACAAATAGAAAAGCTATATTTCTTTGGTTTTTACCAATGACCCAGATGCTGTTAAACTACCAGGGCGCTTTCACACTGGAGCTTCATTCCACTTTATTTTATTTTATTATTACCTTGTCCTGTTCAGCATTATGGCAGCAGAACTGAAATCTGAGTACCGTGCTATGCTGAACAAAACTGCTTTGCAAAGGGAGGCTTTGTTAGTGAGAAGCCCTCCTTGATTACCCAAAACTTCTTTATTTATTCATTTTTTATGCCAAACTTACATGTGTCTAATAATGCCGAACCTGACAGAGGGACAGGGAAGAAAGAAGAGGAGCAGAAAAGAGAGAGATCCTTTAGAAAGAAAGAAAAAGGGAAAAAAAGAAGAAAGAAAAACACAACAAGGCTCCACCCCCCATATAACCCTGAATTGGAATAAGCCATCATAGAAAACAAACAGATGTTTCTATTAACTTTCTTTAAAGGGATGAACTGTGATTTCTCAACCGACAACAATTAAAAAGAGGAAAAAACAAGTAGAATAGAGCTGAGCAGGTAAAAAGGACGAGATACTTCAGAAATTACTTCTAATTTCTAAAAAAAGTATCTACAGAAGCTTATCTTGTCTGGTTATGGTTCCCTGGTCCAGGAATAGATAGTAAGACACGCCATTTTCTTTTTTTCTTTTGGATCAGATGTGATCCCTAAAGGTGTTACCTGTCACTCTCCAAAACAAACATCAAGTCCTCTTTGACACAGAAAAGAAGCTTTTCCAGTGAGAGAAAAGCCTGTCTGACAATCAGCTCTGAGTCTATTTTCTGATTAAAACCTTTTTCAGAGGCTGTTCTGAGAGAGATCCCTCTAAACCTTCTGAGCTGGTTTCACAGCAGCTCGTGAATCCCGTCAGTGGAGTGAGAAAGATGCCGCCTTTAGGTAAAGACAAACGCGGTCGTTAGGCCGTACCTGACCCGGGCGGGGCCTCGCCCCCCTCCGGCTGCTCTGGGGAGTCCTCATCTCCCGGGTCAGCGGAGACACACTCGGCCTGGAAGAGGAAGATGATGAGGAAGAGTGAAAACCAGCTGTAAACTGGATCCGTTTACAGAGACTGAGAAGCTTTAAACCTTCAATTCATCAAAGTAAACCCACTTTGGGAGGTCTATTACTAGACATTTTGAATGTGACTTTGTGGATTAAGCTAACAAATTTGATTTAAAAAAAACATTTTTAATTAATTAGCCACCTAAAGAATGCAAAATGTTCAACTCAATTTCAATTAATGGCTTGCATGAACTTTAAGTAGTAACTAAAATGAATATTAAAAATATTCATTAAATGCTTTCGATCCAAGTACTGTAAGTAAATAAGTAAATAATCAGCTAAAAAAATTTTTTTAAATCACAATTCATCAAAGTAAACCCACTTTAGGTGGTCTATTACTAAAGGTTTTTGAATGTGACTTAAAAAAATTAAGCTAACAAATTAGATCAATGTGAAGAAAAAAAAATAAAAAATTTTAGCAATTAGCCACATTTAACAAAGAAGGCAACATTTTCAACTCAATTTCTATCAATGGCTTCACACATGCATGAACTTTAAATAGTAACTAAAATAAATACAAAAATGCTTATTAAATAAGTACTGTAAGTAAATAAGTAAATAATCAGCAAAAAAAAAATTTTTAAATCACAAAAATAAATAACTGTATATGTATAAATATATAAATAAGGTTAAAAAAGTAAAATAATCAAACTTTGCTCTTTCTATGTTTCTTATTGAAAACTTAGAGAAAATCTAAATGAAAAAAAAAAGTTGTGGCACTGAGATGCAATGAGTTACAAATGTCTGTAATCGGACGGCTGGATGATAGAAGTACTTAATAGTTTCATGTAGCTCTAAAGTTCAGTTTTTCTGCTTTACGCTGGGAGATTAATTTTCCAGATGCTAGAAGTTCCAGTAATCAGAAGCAGACACGCTGAATCCAAAGGAATAATCGCTAACAAGCTAACGACCTAAAGGACCAAACACATTCCTAATAAAACGGGGGGTTACCTCTGTATCTGCGTTTTCTTCCATCTCTGAGGGCTCCACCTGTCCGGCCTCCTGAGAGGAAGAAACTTCTTCTGGAGCTCCATCCGAAGCCTCGGGGGGGTCTGCGGGAGCTGGTGTTTCCTAAGAAGAGACAATTAGAAGAAACCAATTAGAAGAAAACGATTAGAAGAAAACAATTAGAGGAAAACGCCTTTATTTCCCATTTAACGCACAGAAATTTGGGTCTCCTAACGACATTCTGAGAGCAAAATGGGAAGATTTATAACCAAGTTTTTGTCTCAAAAGACAGATATGTACATCACTGATAGCCACTTGTGAGCTACAGCTCTGATTAGTGGCGCTTTGTTCAACAGGAGTTAACACGACGCACCTTTTCTTTACAGAAACACACATTTTTTTTACCAAAACATCTCACGTGGAGGTCGGGGAAGCTGCCACTGGTGGGCAGAAAAGCAGGAGTGACCGTTTGATTAACTGTCTTAAAAACATGTGTTTCTTTCATTCGTCACAGTGTCCAGTTTTATAGTTTTATGGTCAGTTTAAGAATTGATTCAATACTCAATATACATAATGAACCAAGTGAAGGCTGAAGCAGGTTTTTCTATAAACCAAAACAAAGAGGAAAACAGTCCCATAAATAAGCTTAAATTAAACTCACGACAAAGAAAACATACAAACCATTTTTGCCAGCAAGCTCAAAGTGTTTCAAGGCTTAATTAATATAATTCATGTAACAAAAATCCTCTTGTGATCACTTTAGAAATAAACGGTTTAAACTGTTTTAGTCACACATTTGTGAACTGATCAGCTGGATAAAGAAAACAGTTCAAACCGAAGACTTTTTGGTGTCAGAATTCTCATTTCCACCATTTTTCCACATGACTTCCACAGTACTTTGGTCAGAACTGCAGCTGTAAATGTGCTCTGATAAAGTCATTAATCATCTTTCTGTTTAACTGTCAAACGGAGTGGTCGCACATCAATAAGTCCCCAGATTCCTTTATATCTTCCGAGTTATAGACTCATGTTTCAGTGGGTTTTAACTCCAGTTATCAGCAGAAATGCAGCGCCTCCTGTTCATTAGACACAAAAAACAGAAAACACCTCCTCTGCTCAAAGCCCCCCGAAGTAAATACGTTGCAGATGTGTCGAGTCTGGGTTCAGAGAAAAGAGGCTTTGTTTGCAAAAGAGTCCACAAAAACAGACATTTCTGCTTCTTCCAGAGCGGGAGGAGGAGGGCAGAAAGGCAAAAAATGGGTCACATCCTGTAGACACGTTTAAGAGGAAGCGGTGAATAGAAAATAAACTCTTTAAATATTAATGGAAAAGGAACA